TTTTTTTGTTTGGTTGAAATTTTGATAGATCAATGGCGTTATAGATGTAAACCGAAGTAAAGATAAGGGTTACGAGACAATAGTGAAAGATGGCTTTTGTGGGGAGGTGAGATATATCTCGAGTTATAATACATTCTACAACTTCAGTGTGTTACTACGTCTGTATTGCCGGTCGTTGTGGTTAATTTATTCCATGCAGTTGGACGAGCTGAGGCAAATATACGAAGAATTACCTGAGTTTCTGGAAGAGGTGCTATGATTTTTCCATTGCGTTGGAGTGGAAATATGAACATCTGCATGATATGACCATATTACCTACCTTCTCTTACAGGTGTCATCCCTTGAACTTGCGCGGTTACCGCATGTGTCTCGGGAGAAATTCATCCCTAGCATTGTTTATATACATCAGATAGGTTTGTTTAATCTGATTAGTGACTTATATTTTATTCTGGTTGTGGAAGTCTACAATCCTATCTTTAAGAGGGTGTTGCAGTCTGATAATTTATATATATATATTTTTGGAGATGTGTGAGCTCTATTTCTCTATGCTCTTAGCCTCCTTGTTTTTCTTAATTTTCTTTTTACAAATATTCCTTAAGTTTGATTGTCATTTGTTACTCTAGGAAGAAAAACAACAAAGTTAGCAACCTTCAGTAACGAGGAATGGCTTCTTTATTAATGGCTTCTTTATTATGTGAATGCACTCCAGAACATAGTGTCATATTGAAAATATAGGGTACCAATAATCTTGAAAAATGATTCTGGCATTAATTGGTCTTAGATCTGTGAGTCATATTACTGTGTGTAAGATTTTTGAATTTGTCAAACTTGATGGCTCAACACATAAAGCTTTACATGATGTATTTTTAAGCTCAATAGAGGTTTTAGTTTTTGCTCAGGATCTTGTAAACTGGAAAGGTGGGAGGAATCTGAAAATCTTTGAAACAGGCAGGAGTGTGAAATCATCATACATGAATGTTCCCATTCCAACTAGTTATTATCTTGAACATCATTTATTTTTCTTTTTTTTTTTCTTTTTTTTTTTCTCTTTGAGCATTTGGGAGACACGTTTTTGCCAGATTCTTGTTAGATGTGCTAGATCTGTCAAACAAAAGTTGGTCTTTATTTGTGATGCAGGCTACTTAGTGTGCATTTTTGAAGAAAATCTTGAGGATAACATTCTAGAGAAACTTCCGGACTTCGAATTTGCTGTAAGTCATAACTTATACGTCATGTAGTTTTATTATCTATGCAATAGGGATTATATTCTGATTTGATAAGCTTATGTTTGTTGAAACTATAGTTTGCTGATGAAGATAAAGACTCCAAGAAATTTTTCTATCGCACTGAAAAGACACGAGAGCTGGATAACCTTCTGGGAGATATATATCACAAAATTTTGGGTATGTTAAATGGAAATCCTTAAAGTTTGCTTTACCAGCTGCTATTTCTCAACCATAGCTTTAGTTCAAAGTTGTTTATAAGTGAGACATTGACAGTGCCCATGAGTTGCTACCCATTATCCTGAAGGCCCGTTTTTTATGTCCTTGATTTATTACCTATGGTCTTATGCCATCATGCATGTAGCATACTTATTTCTTTTAGTGTTTACAGCATGATGATCTCTTTTCCTATTTTATGGTTCTCTATTGCAAGACATGGAGAGGGCAATTACCAGAGACCTTGTCATTCATATTCTTGAATATTCCGATCCTTTACTTAAAGCTGTTACTTTTGCAGCTGAGCTTGATTGGTGAGCAAACTACAGTGTTATGGTCCATTTCATTTTTTTTTCTTGTACATCCCTATGATTTACTTCTATTCTACACCTTATTGTGATTCTCATGTAATCCTTCATCCAGCTTTCTGTCATTAGCACTAATCGCTCGTCAAAACAACTATACGAGACCCGTTTTGACTTCAGAAAGCATCATTGATATTAGAAATGGAAGGTTTGAGCAGTTCTAAGTAAAAAGGCATGGTGTAGCTATACTAATTTTCCTCAAGGTATTACAGAGCTTTGCTTGTTATCAGGCATGTTTTGCAGGAAATGACAGTTGATACCTTTATCCCTAATGATACAAAGATTCTGGATGAAGGTATTTTTGACAAACTTACCTTTTTTAATCTCTCTTGTTGTGTTGGCTACTATGGAGAGCTCATGACATGACTATTCAGGAAGAATCCATATTATCACTGGACCTAATTATTCAGGAAAAAGTATCTACATTAAGCAGGTTGGTAAAATATTTGATTTGTAAATCTGATATTTCTCTTGCATGATTGTTGACTTCCAAGTTTTGTTTGGCTTACATTTGTTTCATCTATATTTCAAAAATTTATATAAATAATAATGTGCCATCTTAGACGGTCCTCTGCTACCCCTGCTAGCATCCAGCGAATTCTACAACCTTGTCTCTAACAGATTATTAGTTGCTATGAGTGAAGCAAGTAGACAGTTACAGACTAATTCTAGCAATTAATGTGCAATTCCGAATTCAGATTATTTGTTTAAATCAGAAAATGCATTTTATGTGGTAAACAGGAATATCGCATACAATTCCAAACGGAAAGCATATTGAAATATTCAAACAATCATTAGAACATAGTCAAAAAAGAAATCTTTCAACAACCCTGAAATTGAAAATAAAAGCGTATCTTGTAATATTCAATCACGAATACAATAATAATAGTATCTATGTTACTTCAAGAATAAGTGAAGGAAAGTAGCACAAGATTAATTCTCCAGCCCATTTAGCCTCGTGGGTCATGGCCCTGTGTGTGCTGCTTGTGTTGTGTTCTCCTTTCCAATTCCATTCACTTCCAAAAATCACGTGCAGCGTTCCTCATCCCATTTTCCCCTTCAGAGAGTGGGTATGGTATGTCAAAATTCATGTCCAGCCAACCTCATTCCATCATTTTTTCTTCTTTCCCACTTTTCCCCCCAGTAGTACTCAGGTAGCCAGTGAAATCTCAAGAAATCTTTTGACCTTGCTCCAACAATCGGCTTTATTCTACTCATCAATCTGTTAAACAACCTCGGTCCATAAGACTGAAATCTTTTATTGTTCAAATTACGAGCTTGGGTCAGTATGGGTGACCCTTGCCAGTCCTCTGGAACTTTAGTCCAGTTCACCCATAAAAAATACTTAGACACTGGAAATAAGTCGTCAAACACCAAATTCTGTGGATTCATCTGAAAGAAAAAATAAGTCTTAAAAATAAAAAAAGTGCAACAAAATGGTGCGCGTGAAATTTATCTTAATCAAGTAATTCACAATCTTTTCAACTTTTCATGTAATTTTCTAAAATTCAATCTGGTATATACATAAAAACAGTTATTATATCCCAAGGAATAGATTCACTGTTTCAGAGTCTTAGGTGAAATAGTTAGCTGGTTGAAGACATGTATTAGTGAGTTTTGTGATGCATAGCTTAGCTGGTTGAAGACGTGTGTTAGTGAGTTTGTGATGCATAGCGTGGCTGGAAAACCAAGAACAGTAATGTTTGTTTTGTCATACTAGTGTATATATTTTAGATGGCTGAAAATCATTTGTTACCGTGATTCCTTTACTTATTTGCTTAAAGTTGATTTTCATTTCAGGTTGCCTTGATTGTTTTCCTCTCCCACATTGGAAGTTTTGTACCAGCTGATTCAGCCACCGTGGGTTTGACTGATAGGTTTCATCATTTTACTTACTAAATCTCCTCTTCTGATCATCCCTTTCAAGAGGGCGTTTACAGTATCAATATGGTCGGTAACGATGCTGCCATCCATATATAAATAGGATATTTTGTGCTACTGGAAGCAAGTTTATGACTGCTGAGCAATCAACATTTATGATTGACCTCCAACAAGTGGGCTTGATGTTGAGGTATACTAAAAAGATGTAAATAGCATATATTCGCACTGGACTTTTAATAACAGTTGTGTTTGTGCAGAAACTTTTGCCTCTGTTGTATGTTTGGACAGTCTCAATATCATCCTATGAATGTATTAGCATTGATGATAATTCTTATATATATATATATATGGATTTATTCATTTACCTTACTTCAGACATGCAGGTTTTCAGTCTTTATGTCTGATGGATGAATTTGGGAAAGGGACTCTCTCTGAAGGTTATTAGTAGACAATGGATAAATCTTGAGTTCTTTTAAGAAATGCTGTAATCGCATTTCTTATTTGTTAATTTCAGATGGTATTGGTCTTCTTGGTGGAACCATTAATCATTTTGCTTCGTGCGAAAATCCCCCAAAGGTGTGGCATCCTTTATACATTCAGTGCAATTTATGACCCTTTATTTCGATTCTTTTATTTATTTATTTATTTTTTATCGAATTGTCTCTAAAAATGAGGGGAGAAAAGACCTGATCTCTGATGTCTGAGTGATGTTGCAAGAATCAGAATCATTAAGTTTCAATTATTATTTCGAGGCAATAACATGCAAAAAAAAAAAAAATGATACGACAGAGTTATCCATTTCTCTTTGGACAAATTGATTATTTATCAAAGAAGGTACCAAGAATTGTGCCACTGTTGGTCCTGGGTGAATCATGTGGTTAGTGCTACTGGCATTTCCAGTGGTTGATGTATTTGTTGGAAGAGTATAGACTAATTGGACAAAGCTGTTAACTACTGTGGTTGTCTTATCTAGTTTCATTTTCTCCGGAGTGTGTCAAATAAAGATTTAAGGACTCATACCTGGATAACGTAATCTGTAGTGATATTTGTAGAAAACATTGCAACAAAACAATAATTTTTACCTTCGTTGGTTGTCGAGTCACAAACAAACGTCTTGCAATGTTCTGCAGGTTGGCTATGGTAATATTGTAAATATACAAGGTCTAGATCCAAGTGCAAATCGTGCTTCACATGAGAACAATACATTATATGTTATTCTTTTTTTCTCAGTATATGTTGCTGTTTTTAGCAGTGATGCTCCTATTAAAATAGCATCACATGATTGATCCATATCTTACATAGGTGTAAGTGTATATATGTATGTGTTTGTATTTTACACGAGTTAAAGTTTAGACATTTATTATGTCTGCCATATGAATTTTCATCTTTCTGGCAGGTTTTGCTGTCAACACACTTGAGTGAAATATTTGAAAATGGCTATTTGCTGGAGGTAGCATATATTGTACATAAAATTTTATTAATTCCTACAATTTCTAGCTCTATTTTTATTAATAAAAAATACAATCTAATATCTGCAGTCAAGCAAGATCAACTATTACACCATGAGCGTGTTAAGCCCAGACGACAATGGCACAGATGTTGAAGATATTGTATTTTTATACAGGTAACATTGTGCAGTATTTTACACGATTAATCTAGGGTCAACCTGTAAGCAGCCAAGGAATAATGTATAGCATATCGGGTCCAAGGTTGCACTGGAGTTTCTCTTCTTGAAATTAGTCTTCTATCCTTAATGTTTCATGATTGTTTATTCTGTACTTGACAGACTGGTTCCAGGACGTGCTCGTCTTAGCTATGGTGAGTGCTCGACATAATTCTTGAAGCCAAAATAAATACATAATTTATAGATCCTATAAGTCATATACTCTAATTTTCCCTTGCAGGATTACACTGTGCCCTACTTGCTGGTATGTGTTCCTTAAGGCGAATGTGACAAACCAATATTTATACCTTTCTTTGTGAAAATTATATATGCATTCGGTATAAATACTACAAAATATTACCCACCAGTCATACTCATCTCATATATTTTAGTTTTCTTCCATTAAGTTTTCGGATGTTAAAATTTTACCCAGGAGTTCCCGAGGAAGTTATTAAGAGAGCAGCATATGTACTGCTTGCCAATGGAGATCACAAGAATGTCGAGAGACTTTTGCATGAGAATATATCGACACAGGATCAGCAGTATAAGGTTGTGCAACAATTGCATCGTTTTGTAATTCAGCGAGATCGTTTATTTTTTTCGAAATCCCCTCATTGAAGGTTGCAAATAAAATGCAGGAGGCTGTGGAGAAGATGTTGGCTTTTGATACTTCAAACGGTGACCTGAATCTCTTCTTTGAAAGTAACTTTCCTTCTCAGCATTAGAAGGTAACAACAAATGCAACTAACACATGAAAAACAGGTTGTGAGCTTTGTTTGACCAACTAGTTTATGAATGGAAAAATGACATTCGGAAACTGATTTTTCGGTCAAGGAAACTTTCGTAAATTAGTACAAATCGGTTCGGCATGGATAGGCACAGTTGGTAAAATTGAAATTGATTTGGTTCGATAACTATTGATTCAGTTCGGTTTACCCAACTGAACCCAGTTCAACCCTAAGAACCTTAAATTTATATGTCACGAAAAAGACTCAATCTAGAAAAATATATTTTCCGATGCAAGTGCAAGTCGACTGGTCCTGCTGATGTGACAGCAAGAAAAATGAGACATAGTAAAGTTTATTTTAGACCAAAGTGAAGACTTTTTGCATTAGAGTGAATTTTGTTAATTTTATATAGTTTATTTACATGTTACATAAGCAAAACTTGACCCAATACTTTGTAGATGCTATATATCATGCTTTCATCATCAATGCACTATAAGCCTTCCAAATTAAAGGTACTTTTTAGGCTTCCATTTCCAAATAGTATATTATTCGAAGGGGTAAGATTTAATTTTATTTTTTTAAATAAAATATTTTTTAAAATATTTCATTAATTGAGAGCCAACTGTTTTAAATAAAATGTCAGCTTATATTTTTGAATTTTCAGAACAACCCTTTTATACAAATATATTTATATGTATAACGATTTTTGTAAGCATTAACTAACGCTAATCTTAATTTATTTAATGTTGAATATATTTTCTTTAATTTAAAATATAACTTGTCATTTTTAATTTTATCTTTTTTTTTGGCAACTTTTTTAATTTTATCTTAGGTTATGTATGGTAGACAAATAATCTAGCTTATAGCTTATTTGAATAGCTTATAAGCTTCTTATATTTCAATAAGCTCTGTTTGGTAGGGCGAACTTATTTAAAAAACTCGAGCTTATTTCATAAGCTTCTTTTGGTAGTTTTTCAAATAAACTCGTTGAAATTTTTATTTCAGCTAGCTCATCAGCGAATTTTACCAAACATTTTTCATATAAGCTAGTTTTTCAGCTATAAGCTCAATATTTACTAATAAGTTATAATCTAACTTATCAATTTATCAACTAGTTTTATCAAACTTAACTTACGAAATCATGAGCGATGCATATGCTTTGGGTTCAACTATGTTGTGCGTGTGCCACGCGCGTCCTTAATGTCATAAATACTAAAAAAAAATAATCCGCACGTGAAGCACGAGTCTCCATTTTCAGTTTTCCCAAAATAAATTAATTTAATCAATGGCATCATACTACTCTTCCACACCTGACACCTCAAATACAGATCACATATTCCAAGGAGTCAAAAGGGACCACATAATGAATAAAGAAAATGGGCAAACTTGATTGGTAGTCAATTATAACATACAATAATGCTCTTCTATCCACGGTGAACACATGCTAATATGTCCAACAGTTATGTGGCATGCACACATTGGTGATGTATTTTTTTGAACATATTAATATCATCAATGTGTGCATGCCACATAAGCGGTGGACATATTAACATGTGTCCACCGTGAGTAAGGGAGGATTACTGTTATAACATATTCTAACTATCAGTTAAATTTATTGTTTTTCTTGGTACATCAAAGGAGACTAAAAGCCTAGGCTAGAGTTTGTCGGGGGTACAAGTTCACATTCCTATGGGAGGTGAAATGAGTCGATGTAGGCCGAGCGAGGCAGAGCCCGCTAGACTCGCTAAATAATCCGCTGCGAAATTTGCTTCCCGATGCACATGTTAGAGTCGAACAGACCAATCACGCGTATATAAGTCCCGGATCGCTCTAACCATAGCCTCATGGTGTCCAAACGAGCCACTTGATTTTTGAACCATGGTCTGCATACACTGGCTATCCACCTCAACAAGGATTTGTCGAAAGTCCAAATCCCATGACAACAAAAGACCCTAGAATAGCCCCACAGCTGTGCACCCGTAATTGTACATGCTCCAATATTTAAGAGAAAACCCCCAAACAATGATCATTTTTTATCTTTTTTTTTTTACACTATTAATCAATTTGAATTTATTTTTAATTCTTTTTTACTCTATTAATAAGGGTGTTTGATTGATAAGTTTGAGGGATAAGAATGGTAATAATATTTGTAGTCGGTGGTTATTATTGTTATTAATATTAGCTAGTATTCAATCATGTGCACATACAC